ACACACACACACACACACACACACACACACACACACAGAGGAGGGCTGAGGATGGCAGGTGGAATTCTCAAATCAAAAATATGACACCTCTGTTCTTGAAAGGTTTACCGATGATGGCACCACTGAACCGGAACAAACATCTCTCTAACCAGCACCTCCCTGAGCCATGGCTCTCCTTCCTTTAGCAGAAACTATCACGTAAACTTTACCTCCTCCTGGTGAACTGTACTCAGATGAACGTATTGCACGTACGTATGCACCCACATTATGAATCTTGCAAAGTAAAAATGTTGCAAAGGATGACAGGAAAACTGGAGACTATGTTTTTTTAAACAGTGCATGCTACACCGTGATGCAGAGAATGGGAGAGGGAAAGTGGGGGTAGGCGACCTGTGTGGTTAAAGGCCAAGAAATACAAAAGAAGAAATAAAAAAAAACAAATAATTTGGTTGTTTCTCTTTTCTTATCGCACTGGGGTTAATAAGTGGGTGGACCAATCAGGGAGGGGTGTAAGGGATGTGACTTCATTAGTTCCTTTCATGGGCCATGCTTACTAGTCCCTCTCCTCAACATGGCTCCCGATCGGAAGTGGAAAGATGGATCGCCCGTTTCAGTCGTCTCACGGAGGTGGAGCAGGGAAAGCAGGCAGGGCCGCAGGCCAGGATCGCTGGGGACAGGGGGTTAGTTGAAGCCGGTGTCAGTGTGGTAGGAGTGGTGCCCATCCGATGTTAGCTGGGTCGTCTCTGTGGCCGACGGCTGCAACACTATGGGATCGCCACCGGCCTCTGTTTGACAAAGAGAAACAACGTGGTGAGTGTTTGCATCAACCCCATCAACAAATTCAAAAACTAGAGACGGTTCTGCATCACCTCTCTCGTCAGACTGCAGCTGGGCCTCCAGGTCCTCGGGGGACACGTAAAAGTCCTGGTCTTGGCCTTCCCGAGGCCTCGGTTTACATTTTCCACAGCAGCAGTTACAGCAGCAACACAGGCAGCAGCAGAAGTAGCAGCCGGTGGCCAGGCCGCAGAACACGAACAGAGCCTGCAGGAGAGCAGATACATGAGAGGAAGCAGAGAGATAATAATAGGTGTGTGAGGAGAAGATAAGAGAAGGAGGTATGAATGGAAAATACAAGTATCAGTAAATGCTGCAGGGGTCTTTCCTCCGCCTCACCTTCGCCCACCAGCTGGAGAGCACAAAGTAAGTGTTAACATTCTCTTCTCCAAACTGCTCGGCCACATACAGGCCCAGGGAACCGTATTTGTCGTAAATATTACGCTTCGTGGGGTCGTTCAGAATCGCATGGGCGTTGTTTATCTCCTTGAACTTATCTGCTGCTTCTGGATTGTCAGGATTCTTGTCAGGGTGGAACTTCAGCGCCAGCTTCCTGTTTGGAGGAAAACGACAAAAGTCATCTAAGGTGAGGCCGAACCTTTCTGTGGCAGTTAAGTGAAGATGAGGGGACGTCTCACCTGTAAGATCTCTTGATGTCATCGGATGTGGCGATCTTGTCAACTCCCAACACGAGGTAGAGAGACTCACCAGCGGTGGACAGAGAGCGTTGCCTCTGATGCTCAGCCATGATTCCTTATGTCCACAGACTGGGCACAAAAACAGAGCAATTAAATGCACTGCATGTCGTGCTATACAAGCCAACCTTAAAGGAAACACCTATTTCGTTAGAATCGCCTGTTTATCACCATATACACCGATTTAAAAAAAATCAGGCCTTTTACTAAAGTGAGGCCTGTGTGGCTGCAGGCAACAGCTGCTTCCGTGAGACACCGCTGTCCTGAACATGGACACATGGAAATATATCCTGCTTTGTGTGACATTTAGGGGAAAAGGAGTCAAAGAGCAAAGACGAGCAAATCCTGGAATAATTAAATTTCCCTGCACGAATCTGATTCTCACAGATTTTCAATGTGATTGCACAAACGATGTAAAGGGTCCTGCAGGATTATACAGTTACTGACATGTTGGCAGGAGCTGCCTCTGCTGGTGTCAGTAAATCAGCAGCTGACGTCCACACAGTCGGAGCTGCTGCAGGGGAGCGAGGTTTTATCGAACTGATGCTGCAAATAAAAAGCCACAAACCCACCCTGCTGAATCCAAATGGGTGTCATCTTGACTCGAATGAATGGCCACCGGTGTACGTGAAGCCCTGTTAAAGCGCATTTCAACATTTTCCCCTCAAACTGGCCGTTCTGCCGAGAGGGTGTTAAATGTATCTGCGCTACACTGCCGTGGTAAAGAGTGTATATGAGGGATTAGAGTGAGTGGGTTCGATGCTAGCAGCGTAATCTCTGTGCGAGCAGCAGCAGCAGCATCATCATCAGCAGCAGCTCGGCTATAGCGCACAGCATCCATGTTGGTTTGCTTCCTGGCCTGGTGTTGATGCAGCCAGGGATGGATCGTCAGCACTAATCTTCAAGGTGAAGGGGCAGAGGCTCGAGGAGGAGGGAGAGAAGCGGACGTGCAGGAGCGGGCTCACCTTTCAGTCTTCTGCGGTGCTCTGTGAAACCGAAGGATCCCTGCAGCTCGTGGTTTTTGACGCTGTAGTGACTATGGCCGCATAGTACAAAACCTCTGAGGCTTCACACAACCATGGACAGCTGCAGCACGGATCTGACTCCGCCCCCTGCCCAACCCCCACGGAGACCCGACGTGCGCGTGCACAGGCGGACTGCGATGATGAAGATGATGATGATGAGGATGAAATTGAAGATGATGGGATGATGGGATGATGACTGATGAAGATGAAGGTGATGATCAAGATAATGATGAAAATGATCATAGTGATAATGATGATGATGATAATCAAGATGAAGATGATGATGATGATGATGAGGAAGATGATGATGAGGAAGATGATGAAGTCAAGTCAAACTCAACTTTATTGTCAATTCTGTCATACACAGGATATAGACAGGATTGAAATGCCTCTGATTCCCTGATGAAGATGGAGATGAAGATAGTGATGATGATGATTATGATGATGAAGATGGTGGTGATGTCACTTCAGCCAAAACTTAGGGGAGAAGCTACAGTTTGAATATCAGGACCTATTTAAAAGCACTTTTCTGTGACTGAACCGACTTAAAGTAAAAGTTCTTGTGTCCGTCTCTGCGTCTGAGCTGGAGTCTTCTAACACAACAGGCCGATACCGCTGCAGATCTATTGGATTACTTTGTCCATGGCTATTGTTTCCCTCTGTTTCCAGCATTTATGCTAAGCTAGGCTAACAGCCAGATGGATCCAGCTTCAGGAGAACTGTATTGATCTTCTTATGCAACTCTCCACAAGTAAGCAATTAGTTTAAGTGAATTTCCCCAAAATGCAAACTAGACCTTTAAATGTTGGGAGTCCAATCTGTTTAGGTTTTTATTACATCTGCAAAGAAGGTCATGTTGTCACCTATAGGTTTGTTTGTTTGTCAGCACGGTCACACTAAACTGAAAGGATTGAGGGATGGGACATTTATTCTGTAGGTGAATCTTTTTAATTCTATTTTAATGTTTTTTGTATTGTCTTATGTTGCTTTTACAATTTGTCATGATGCCTTTTATATTTTCTGTGAAGCACTTTGAATTGCCTTGAAATTTGTTACATGAATAAATGTGCCTTGTATTACATTTCTGAGAAGATCCAGACAAAGGTTTGGATCCAGGATTTTATTTCTCTGTCTTTATAGATTCTTAAATAATTACAAATACCTATGGATGATTAGTGTGCATTATGCACACCATCCAAACTAACTGCAAAAAAAGCTCAGTGTTGTATCCGCCTATCTAAGTGTCCATCTATCTATCTATCTGTCTATCTATCTATCTATCTATCCATCTATCTATCTATCTATCTATCTATCCATCTATCTATCTATCTATCTATCTATCTATCTATCCATCTATCTATCTATCTATCCATCTATCTATCTATCTATCTATCTATCTATCTATCTGTCTATCTGTCTGTCTCTCTCTCTATCTTTCTCATAAACTGAGGAGAACTGGTGCAGTTTAAAATACAGATGGTGGCCACACCAAATATTGATTTAAATATTTACTGCAGGTTGCATGGAGTTCATTAGTTTAAAAAAAAATTCCTTGCATTATTCTATAATATTTAAATCCGTCCTTCGGTTGTTTGATTGAATTTGTTGACAGATTTAAATACTTAAACTTTTCACATTCATTTAGTTCACTTCGCTTCCTCGGCAACCGTGACGTCACGCCGCCACCCAATCGCAAGAGCTCGCGTCCGGACGTTACTCTCGCGAGGTTTCCACGTCAGTTAGCTCGGAGCGTTAGCCTGGGTCCGTTAGCCGCCAGTAGCTCGGCTGTGTCGGCGCCGTTGACTCCGGTGTGAATCTGAGCCTGAAGCAGCACCGAGCACCGAGCACCGGGCGCCTCACCACCGTCTCCCCTCGCCGAGCAGGAAGCACCGTCCCCGGGCCTCGTGTCTGCACGGTGAGTCGAGTCGGTGCACCTTCTGCTAACTGACAGGAAATGGGTTTGTTTTGGAAGCGCCGGAGCACGTCCACATTATTACTAGTGACACTAACACGCACCCAGACGCTGCGTAACTGCGCGGATCTGGCGTCTGTGGTTTTGTTGTGAATTGTCGTGTGCAGCTTCCGTGTTGAATGTCCGTGTTGCGTGGTTGTTACCCGTGTGTGCAGGGTTGTAACCCGGTTGTAACGTCTCTGCTCGTGCAGGTGCAGCCTGTGGCCGAGCCGTGGCAGCCTTGCTCACGTTTTGGGTTTCTTGCTCCTCCAGCGTCCCAATGATGAGTTATGCTGAAAAGCCAGAAGACATCACCAAAGAAGAGTGGATGGACAAACTGAACAACGTGCACATACAGAGGGCGGACATGAACCGGCTCATCATGAATTACCTGGTGACAGGTGAGGAGACGGGGGACCTCGATCAATTCATCGAGTTTTATTTGTAAAGCTCATGTTCACAAATCACAGTTTGCTCTAATGGGACTGAACATGATGCGACATCCTCTGTTCTTCACCCTCAACATAGAAAGACTACCACAAGAAACCTAAGAAAGGGATAGTTCACTGAAAAATGAAAGAAGTGTTTGAGTCCATAAAACATTTTAGGATTCTCCGGGTTAAACCTTGTTGCAGCCAAAGTGACTCCTGCTTCCGACGCAATAAAACACCTGATGTACGGTGTCATCCAAGTGTCTGCAAGCCCCGACATTCACATTGGACATGGCTTGTTATGTCTTTTGCTTTGTTTTTTTACGTTTGAATAAGTTGTCGCCATATAATTCCAATTATATTGGATTTGGCTGCAACGCTGTTCACTCCCAAAACTCCCACATTTTTTTGTGAACTCAAACACTTCACCCACCCCTCCAACGGCATAGTGGTGAGTAGATAATGAGGGAATTATCCCTTTAACATGGGGAGAGTCACATGTGAGGGATCCCTCTCCCAGGACGGACAGAAGTGCTATCATGAACACAACTAAATGCATCATTACACAGGGGTGCATCAAGAATTATTACCAATTCCTCCACCATTTATTACCTGGATGAATGATTTTGGCTTTAAAATGCTAGAGAGCCCTCTGTAATTTCAGTCCAAAATATATATTAAGTATTAATTTAATCAAGACACATCCAAACAAACACTCATAGATATCAGTTCAGTTTATATTCATCAAGATCCACAAATAATTTCCTGGGAAATACTGCATACATGCACTGCAACCTCAGGTGGATCTATGTCTGTGGAGATTCTCAGTCATCCAGGTCTTAGTTTATCCAAGTGCTAAAAAACAGGTCCACTGCACTTGGTTGAGTTTGTTGAAGACATTTCACCTCATCCCAAAAGGCTTCTTCACTTCTGGCTGCTGGGAGTCCCAGTTATTTAACTCGTAGGGTCATTGAGTTTACCTGAGAAGCTTTTGGTTTCGTTTGGCCCAGGTCCCAATTTTTCAAGGTTTCACATAAATCAATCAAATTTTTTTGTAATCCTACTGAAAATACAAACATACTAACCAACACCACACCGAACAATCTTAAACAGACATGCACTGAACTCCTCCGTCTCTGGAGGGGCTGCATGTGTGAACACAAATGTCCGACTGAGAGCCTCACAGACCCACAGAGTAAAAAGTGCAGAATGAGCCGATGTGAGAAAACGTTTGTGACCGATGCGTAGGATCCGAAACTAGTGGCATGAAAAGAAAACTTGTCTGTGTCTTGAACTCACTCTGTCACACTGGTGCGTCTCAATGAAGTGAGTTCAGTCACTGAGTTTGTCAAATGAATCAACTAATCACTGCACTTCTATTTTTAACCATCCTTTATTTCTTTGCCCCTGTCTGTGTCTGTTTCACATGTTTCTAGAGGGGTTTAAAGAGGCGGCGGAGAAGTTTCGGATGGAGTCTGGTATCGAGCCGAGTGTGGACCTGGACTCTCTGGACGAGAGGATAAAGATTAGAGAGATGATTCTGAAGGGACAGATACAAGAAGCTATTGGACTCATCAACAGCCTACACCCAGAGCTGCTTGACACCAATCGATACTTGTATTTTCATCTGCAGGTACATGTGCACCAAGAATTGCAACAGCCGTCAGTAGTTGTGATCATATTGTGAGCCTCTGATTATCAGAGACTCAGCAGCAGTGAGAGAAAGGCACAGCAGCATTTTTTTTAAGGTGCAAACCCTTCTATACTTTGTAGGTAACAACTCAAGCTGCTGTTCTACACAATGAGATTATGTTCTTTATTATCTTTCCTGGTTAAAAAGGGAAAACATTTTAATACTAGATTCTTCAACTTGAATTGTGTGTTCTTTATTCTCCTTGCAGCAGCAACATTTGATTGAGTTAATCAGGCTAAGGGAGACTGAGTCAGCACTGGAGTTTGCCCAGACACAACTGGCCGAGCAAGGGGAGGAGAGCAGAGAGTGTCTGACGGAGATGGAGAGGACACTAGCCCTTCTGGCTTTTGACAACCCAGAGGAGTCGCCCTTTGGAGACCTGCTCAACATGATGCAGCGACAAAAGGTCAGAATGATTTGTCATATTGTGTCCCTCCAATGTTTGACCTCAGTATTGGAGTCACTGAACCAAATTGAGACGTAGACAGTGACTTTAAGGCCATTTCACAGATCTAGTTCTGTTCATTTCATCCAAACCAAGTTAAAAAAAAACACAGTTTCTTTATAAATCTGTAATATTACTGTACAAAATATCCATATATAAACCGTACCAAACACAGTAAATGTAGAAACGCCTGGAACCAGCCTCATGAATTAGTGTGGTGTGTGATTGTGTAGCTGTTTTCAGACATGAACTGAAATCCTGAGATCCACCGAAGTTTGTGTGGACTTTCTCCACCTGGCCCTCTAGTATTATTAAGTCTGCAGAAACTCTGGAGGAGCTGACGTGAGACCACAGCAGGAGATTCTCTGCAGGATTCACCGTGAGCGAGTGGGGGGGTTTGATGACAAACAGGCCACAGACGCAAAAACGTAAAGAAACAAAAGGAATATAAATAGCTTTCGGATGAAAAAGCTGTGTCATACACACAGAAGACACAGACAACACAGACAAACATGTCAAGAGAGCTTGTGGTGATAAGATCCGACGTCGGGGTAGATGTGCTGTAAATAAAAACATGTGGTCTCCACAGCGGAATTAATACATTGCGTCTTGTCTCTGCCTAATGCACCACCCCCTCACCTGAATCCTCCAGAGGATTTGTTGCTGTTGTTAACGCATCTGAGCGGAGAACATCCCACTGCGTTGTTCATGTGTGAAAGGAAAAGTCCAGACCCAATTCTCTGGAGTGACGAAAACAGTTAATGTAAGCAGTAAGAACACAGTGAGTCTGTATTCAGTATTTGTGCAAGACATTTCTTTATTTCAATTTGACTGCAACACACACATCTTGGTGCGCAGGTTTGGAGTGAGGTGAACCAAGCTGTGCTGGACTATGAAAACAGGGAGTCAACGCCCAAACTGGCTAAACTCCTTAAGTTACTGCTGTGGGCGCAGAATGAGCTCGACCAGAAGAAGGTGAAATATCCCAAAATGACTGATCTTAGCACGGGAACCATCGAGGACCCCAAGTGAACGTAACGGAAAAGAACAACCATCTTCCACGTCTCCTTAATTTATGATCAGTCAGTGACTGTGTGACAACCAGGTAACATATATGTATAAACTAATTCTACATTGTTTTTATTTTCCATGTTGCATTCATGAGATGTAAGACTTATAAACTCATTGTGTAAACTGTAAATTGCTGTATTTGCAAAGTGACAGAAATTATCTAGTTTAAATACTAATCCTGGATTTTCAGATGGATCTCGGAGACGACACAATTCAAAATGCTGTTTTATATTTCTTCTTTCTAAAGCTTCTAAAGTCAGTATTATTATTTATTTCCCCAACAATTATTTACCCAGAAAGAGAGTTGATGGTGTCAATACTGTGGTTTGTGAACTTCAAACAGCAGATACACAATTACCCTTTTTAATATACACATGTTAAGGCTGAGATGAAATTAAAATCTAAATCTCATACATAAAATGTTAATAATTTTAATTAAATGAAAAAAAAGCTTTATTGATGTAATATACTTTTAATTTATATAATATTTTACAAATTTGTGTTAAGTATGATGTTTGGCAATTTGCTTTAACATCAATCAGTTGCTTCCTACACCTGAGAATCTGATGATTGTATGAGCACAGTATCCGTGGAATGAAGTACCTTGTACAAATATGAGGCCAAACGTGTATCAGAGTAATTGGAACAGGTTCTGAATGAGACACTCTCGTGCTGACCTGAGCCCCCGCAGCTTTCTGAGTGTACTTCACATTCCACCCCCAGGTTGCTCCAAATGTTTCAGTTTGGTTTTACATAAGTGGGGTGGAATAGTCTGCCTGTCTGATGTGGGCAGGGTTCACATTGCTGCGTGAGGAATGAGGGAGTTGTTATGGCTGCTTTCTTGTTTAAAGTTAACAGTCGGACTGAAAATGATTTTGATTATTGTTAACTATGATCAAAAATATTGACATTTCTTATGTGTACTGGTTGGTCAAAGTACTTTCTGTCAGTTTTGCCACTTTTAAAACAGTTTTTCACTTTACTGCATGTGAGTGTTTTTTATTCGATGGGGAAAGGCACTTGTGCTTGTTTACTTTTGTTTATTTGATTTACTTTTATAAAACAACAAAAAACAAACTTGCTGCTAGCCGTCCATCCTTAATTTCTTTTAAGGTTGCATTGTCTTTATAGATCTTGGATTTGTCAAACACAAAAACCCAGAGAGATCATACCCCTTTTATTATTCAGCATTTTTAAGATCAGATTTACAATTATTGAAATAAACAAAACTTTTGTGAACCATAAAAGAGCTGTTTGTCATTTTGTGAGTAGTGTGCCAGCACGTTTGCAACTTCTACTGGATCATACACCTGGTGGTAAAAGGCAAGCTAAGCTAAACATGGCCCTGTCATGGTGAACCAGCTAATCCTCATTTGAGTTTTGTTCCAACAAGTTTGACTTGTTTGACCTGTCTGCTTGAGGAAGTGAGGTGTAGCTATAGGGCTCACACACGCAGTGCAGGAGAGTTGCACAGCGAACACAGAGGAAACTGGTATTTTTTGAATGGCTGACAAACACACATCAGGAGACGGCTGGAACGACAAAACTGTATCTCTACTGGAACACAAGATTTGTACAATTACAAAATCTATGGAAGATGATCCCGTAAACACAAACCTGTGGCCGAGGTAAGACATTAAGATCTTCTAAAAACTAGATAACTTGCTATGTGCTGTACCTGCATGCACAGCTATAAACATGATCAGGAATTCAGTCTGTACCTATTTTTATAAAAATCATTTTATTAAGCGTTGAGAAGAAATTCACTAGTTTCAGCTTCTCAAATGTGAATGTTCTGATTATTATTGTGCCTCATGATTGAAGTGAAGTGAATGGATTTGGTCTGTACATCAGCCAAATGATTAATCAACTCGATTTACATGTATTCAAACATTTTTGAGCTACAGCGGTATGACTCTGAGGAGCCACCAGACTGAAATATCTGAACCACTGGATGGACTAGTATCATATCTTGTACAAATATTATCTTTGTTGATCTCCTGACTTGTCACTGTGTCTTCTGACACTTGGCACACGTCATCAGTGTTTTGTAGTATCTTCTCATTCGTCTCATCGTGTTGGCGTTTAGCTCGATTCACTGCTGAACTCACAGATCTTTCATCAGACATATTATGAACTTAAAGGTACAGTGTGTAGAATTTAGTGATATCTAGTGTTTAAATTTCATGTTGCAGCTGAACACTCCTCACCTCCCTCTCCCCTTTCAAACATGAAAAAGAACCTGTGGTAGCTTCAGTTGTCATAAAAACTCCAAAGGTGTTTGTCCAGTCTGGACTAATGTAAAAAAACATGGCACCCTCTGTAGAGAGGGCCCCCTCGATGTAAATATAAAGTGTTTAAATATAAAGGGCCTTTTCTGGGGTAAAGAAAACTACAGTTCATACAATTTAGATGAAACGAACTGGTGAAAACATCATGAGGATTATTCTACATCTTAGATCCCTTTCACATAAATCTTACACACTGGACCTTCAAAGAATAAACGTTTCCTTTGTAGAGCTTTGGCACGAAGATGGACGCTGGTGCTGTTTGTCGGCACCTGCCTCCTCTACTGTGCCAGGATGGCCATGCCGATCTGTGCCGTGTCGATGGCCGCCACTTTCAACTGGAGCAAGATCGAATCTGGGCTGGTCCTGGGTGGTTTCTTCTGGGGCTACTGTACCACACAGATCCTGGGGGGACATGCCAGTGACAAGTGAGTCATTGAATTGGTAGAACATGCATGACTCCATAATTAATTAAGTTATGACCTCTGGTGTGTTGAGTTTAGAGTTTGATGGTTGAACTGTGTGAATGTTGTGGTTTTAGAGTGGGAGGAGAGCGCATCCTCTTCATCTCTACAGGCCTGTGGGCTCTGGTCACTGGTGCTACTCCTCTTCTGGCCCAGCTCGGCATTCACACCCTCGCTCTCATGACCCTGGGCAGATTCCTCCTGGGTCTTCTTCAGGGTGAGAACTGCACCAGTTACCATATGAAAATAAGCACTTGTGTAGTTCAACATTTTTAGGGAAATATGAATGTTCACTTTGTGATGCAAAAGTGGATGAGAAGATGAATTGCACTCTTGTGTCTTTATGCTCAAATAAAACTGCAACCAGCCGGCGGTTAAAACAGGGAATCTGTTAGCCTCACTCAGACACTGTATATAAAGATGGCTCACGTGACAGCTCCACATCAGTGAAGCCCAAAACATATTGATTGTCCACTGGTGGCTGGCAACTGTTCATAAATCCTGCCTCCTCCATGTTATGAGATTGGACACCAATGTATGTGTTCATTTGTCTGATAAGTTTGTTTTCAATTAGTTATTTGATGCTATAAAAACTTAGCTGCTGGCTTTGTATTCTTCACATTTCATACACACAAACATGAGAGTCGATCAAACTCGACAAAGTTGAATATGCATTTTTCCCAAATTGTCAAACAGTTCATTTGAATAAAGGTTCCTCCAAGAAACACAGGGTATAGTAAAAATGGAGCAGGTGAACCATCTATTACTTCTTTGTAAAAGCACATTTAATTCCATTAAGGCTGAAAGTAATGATTAATGTGCAGCTTATTTTCTCAGTCTTCAAGGTGACTTGTGTTTCCCCAACAAGGATATTCTGTTTTCGTTGATATGAGACTCATGTTTGAGAAGCTGGAGTAGAAAGTAATGTTTGTCATTTGTTTTTGAAGAAGGACAAACTGATAAATGATTTTTAAGGGGTCTCGACTGAAGCCTCAGATCTCATCCATCTCGTGATTTTCTTCCAGGTGTGTTCTTTCCGTCTCTGGCCAGCATTTGCTCTCAGCGTTTCGTGGAAGCAGAGCGAGCCTTTCTAATGAGCACTATGCACAGCGGTACTTACCTTGGGTATATTAGACACACACACACACACACACACACACAGTTCACTTTTGGGGACATTACAAAGACTTCAAATACATAAACTGCACCCACTGATCCAAAAATCTGCTTTTCAACTTTCAAATAAAAAAATAATAAAAAAAGAACTGGTTTTATTCTGAAATTTGTCCACAATAACAGAAACACACACACTTATATACACACAATCTATATTTCTGCCATAACTGTTGTACTTTTGCTCTTCAGAACACTAATGGCAGGTGGAATGGGATCTATCATGCTGGACAAGTATGGCTGGCAAAGCATGTTCTTCTTTACTGGCTTCCTGTCTTCACTGTGGGCACTCCTTGTTTGGCAGTATTTTTTAAAAGGTACAAAAACATGTCGACTTGAATATCAACATTGATTGAGTGCCAGACTTATATATATAATAATATAATGATTGAACTGACTGACATGAAACTTTGTACAGACATTCAGGATTAATGTTAAATACTTTGCTGAGCCCTTACTTTTTCTGTGGCGCCACCATGAGGTTGTTGTTCTTTAGAGTGGTTATCATGTGATTTGGTACAGGCATCTTTGATGCATGTTTCAAACTGATATAATCACTTTCCCAGAATGATGCCATGTGAACTCTGTGTCTCAGATGAAGTTATCCCCAAGCAACTGAACACTCACTATAGACCGAGACCTCACTCGCAATGGAACACGTCCCGCTTGCTGCATCTGCTTAAGAAGCCTCCAGTCTGGTACGGCTTATGTTCTTTAATCCTTCACAATTCACCAACACACGACTGTATGAGTGCTTCAGCCATCTTAACCTCATCCCTCGCTCTTTCTCTCTGCTTCTTTGTCTCTCTAAGGTCCATGGTCTTCGCTCACATGTGCATAGCTAGCACTTCCAACACGTTATTGTCATGGCTGCCAATGTACTTCAAGGAAACATTCCCAGATGCCCCAGTATGTTTTCTCCACCCTGCATTATGTAAACATTCCACAGTGACAGAGTCAGTGACATTTTTTGAATTCCATTTGAAAACTGTTTTTTTTAATCTACACCTTTTCTTGCAGGACTGGGCGTATAATGTAATTCCGTGGCTTGTTGCAATTCCCTCATCTTTTAGTGGGGGATATATTTCAGATTTTCTCATCAATCATGGTATTTAACAGCTGTCGTTATTTTTTTTTGATTATGTGTTACAATATCAAATCATACTCAAATTATTTCCCTCCCCCTGCAGGTTATAGTATATCATCTGTGAGAAAGATAATGCAGGTAGGTGTGGTCAAACTGTTGTGATTGTACATTTGTCCAGAGTTTTCTAGAGAGATAGAAAAGTGTGAGTGCACAGAAAGTTTTGTCCTGACAAGCTACTTAAGAGTTCTCTAATGGAATTTTTGCTCATGGTTTCGAACATGTGACGACAAGCTTTAGAACTCAGAGGTGAAAGATGCGTATAAACTGTGATTCACTTACATACTTACTTATTTTAAGATAAGATCTTTTATTAGCCCCACAACAGGACGATTGTCTGTGTTACAGCAGCAAAGAGGACACTATGAGTGTAATATGTAAATCTACAAAACAAAACAAAACTGAAACTCTTCAGGATAATGATGCTTATACTAACCATACAAAACAAAACAGGTTCTGAATAAGAAACTTGGATTAAGTTTTTGTCTGAACTGATCTTAATTAAGATAAGAAAAGATGAGACAAGAGATAAGATAAAACATTACTGATATCACAATGAGGAAATTATCTTGTATCAGCAGAACATGTTTGTTTGGTTCATATTCCTGCGAATGTCACATCATCATTTTCATGTTTATTCTCAGTACAAATGAAATGCAAATATGATTATACCTGTCCTGGGTTTAGAGTGCACATGGGCCGTGCCTTTAAATACCTGACATGCACGTCTCTTGCTTTCTCCCTCCTCAGCTCTTAGCCATGGGCGGATCGAGTATGTTTATTATGATCCTGATGGGAGGAGCGTTTACATCATTCCCCACTGCAGTGATGTTTGTCTCTGCAGCTGTGGGTCTATCAACCTTCACCAGCTGGTATGTTAAACGAAACAGATTCTGACCGTGTGTTAAATAAACTGCTGCAACATCATTTTAACAAGATTTTAGAAACATATTCTGGTAACGATAACAGACATCACTAGATTGAATGAATTTAAAGCTCTTTTAGATTGTTGTCATACACAATGATGACATTGTTCTTTCTCTCCTGCAATGTGTGATTGCTCATTGTTCAAACTATACGCCGATATTAATATACAGTATCTGCAATAAACTAATATTGGCTCATATATCAACCAATATCTGTTTTTTCCCAAAGAGCAAAGCCAACAAACCAATACTTTCCTACCCAACAACTCAAATTGATTTAAGCATTTTATTCACTGTGCTGTAGAGATACAAAAACTGAAAGATAGAATAGAAATAACAACTGGTGGCACCAGTCAGGGAAAGGTAGATTGATGGTTTTACAATAACCATTACATTCATGTGTGATCTGTGAAGAATAAGTTTAATTTCTCAGGCTTTACATCCACAGACCGTGCTCGGTGTAAATGAGATGAATCCTTGTTCAATGTGCTGTAAATTGAGACGACTCCTGTTTCCTTGTGTTTCAGCGGTGTGTCTGTGAACGTACAGGACCTCGCTCCATCATGTGCTGGTGCTCTCTTCGGTGAGTTTGTAGCTGTCGACATTTAAGATTCATAAAACTGTGATAGTCATAGTTTTTAAAAATCGTTTTTGTCCTTTTTGTTCATTCATTCTTTATTCCTTTTCTGCAACAGGCTTTATGAATATGATGGGTGCCTTTATGGGTACGTATTCAAGATGTGGACTGATTGTTTGCAATTTACTGGAATTATCAAAACATAACATTTATCTGAAATGACACAAGTTAATTGTTAAACCTCCGCACTGATTTTAAATGTCTAATGTCCTTATGTGTTTCACAGGGGTGGTGCTGGTCTCCTTGACGGGTTACCTGATTGAGGTCACCCTGACGTGGGCCTCCGTGTTCTCCCTCATCAGTTTGGTGAACACCACAGGTCTTGTGGTCTTCCTCCTATTTGGAGATGCTCAACGTGTTGACCTGGAAACTTACGGCCAGATTTCCTTGATTTGACCCAAACCCTGTGCTGCAAACAATCATTTGTAGCCGGGCTGCTGTGATTATCAGGAACCTCTGGAGAGTTGGGAATGGGAAAAATATTTTTCTGCTGCTCAAAACAAGAAGGAAACAGCTATTCACAATGAAGGAACTTGAATATGGAGGAACTTGAATATTCTGGATCATTGAATGTAGCAATTTGACATCCATATAAAAATGATTACATCGAGGGCTTTCTGTAAATTCTGAGCTGAAGGGATATTAATTTGTTGATTGTGTTAACTTTGTCTATTTTCACTTTGTATGATAAAGGTACAGTGTGTAGAATTTAGTGACATCTAGTGGTTGATTTGCATGGTGCAGCTGAACACCCCTCCCCTCACCCTCCCCTTCCAAACATGAGTGAGACCCTGTGGAAACCTGTCAATATGAAGGGCTCATTCTGGGGTAAAGAAAACAACAATTCACACAATTTTGATGAAACAAACTAGTGAAAACATCATGAGGATTATTTTATATCAATTTCTGCCAATAGATCCTTTCACCTAAATCTTACACACTGGACCTTTAAACATCTTGTCTCTGGTATATGTTTACTCCACTCAAGCCAAGAACTTGCCCAGTTGCTTTGTTGTTGTCTTGATATTGTTGATTCCAGACTCAACAAGGACGGACAACATGACAGTCAAGACAAATCATCTTTATCGCCCCCTGGTGGCTGGCTACAGTCATATACCCTGTCCCCTCCATATTTTTTGATGGGATGTGGTCCACAAAGTCTCAAACATAAAGGACATTATGCTCAAGTGGCCCACTGTGTCAATGGCCGCTAGAACAGGGGGAAAGTGGAGATGCATTGTGCATCTTTATTTAGAATCTATCCCCCTACAGTTATGTGAGCAGCCCAGAAGTAAACCTGTAACCAGACTTTCCAAGGAGGACTTGTACACTATCACAGCTTCTACACAGAAATGATGTGGGCGCTCTACAGACTTTTGAAATTGAATCACATTCACAGAGGGACGCTGGAGGGAAGAGCCATGTTAACTTTGAATGTTTGATGATGTTGTGTTTTTATCTCTAATGTATTTTTCTTAGAAATTCTGTGTGAAGTGTCTTAGAGTTTTTTGAAATTTAAATAAAATGTGTTATTATTGTTATTGTCACGTGCAACTTCTTCATCGATTCACCGCGTCAGTGTGACCGTGCACCGGACTCTGTAATGGGGGCAGCATCCCGGATTCACGTCATGACGTTATCACCTCTTACAGCCAATGAGGACGGGGCCGTGAACGCCTCACGCGCACCAGGACGCGCTTTATTTAGGTTTGATGCAGAGAAATGTCTCAACATAAAGAAACCAGAGGAACCGGCGGGTATTTAACTCACGAAGGTCGAACTGGACAGAAGCGCAGAACCAGAGGGGACCTCGGGAGTGGACCTGCCCGCCTCCATCAACTCACACCCCGCTGCTGCTGCAGCCCTGATGTCGGTGGTGTTTTACCTCCACGGATGAAGGCAGATGTTTGCACGGTGTCAGGATGTGCACATCAGGAGGATGAGAAGAACAAGGAGAGGAAACCTGGTGCATGTGTTTGAATTCAAGTCTTATTATTATTATATCAATGAAAATAATAGTGAGGAACTAAAAAGAAACACAATGTTCTGCAGTGGCACCAGCCACTGTTCGTGAAGGTGATGTTATTTCTGTCTTTTGAAGGTGTAACTTTCCTCTGAGTGACAGGATGACCCCTCCTCGTGTTCACAGCGGACCTTGATTTATCAGCCACACAATTAAGGCACGCGGTGAATGCCAAGAGAGGAATCGAACTCTCGACATTCAAGAAGGTTTTTCTGTGAACCCTGCACTGAGAGACAGATCCACCGTCTGCACACTCTGCCTCTTGGAACCAAAATGTGACAACAAATACAGGCCTCTGCATTTGTTTTAATTCCATTCTGCTTTTGTTTTTGTGAGGATGTGATTCCCCTACTTCTATTTTATGATATAGGCATGGCCGGATTCATCTCCTACAGGCCCCATGTACTGACCCCCAACTATACTTTTACATGTCAGTTTTATTATTTCACCTGGCAACCACCACTAAAACTCACAAGAAATGAAGTGGCATGTTTTTATGATTTATTGATCCATTTGTAAGCAATTCATTGTAATATGATTCTCACATTTTGAATATTAGTTAGTTTTCATATTAAACTAACTCAGCATTTAGAGGTTACACTTTCACCCCGGACCGTTTGTTTTCTGGTTGGTTTGTAAGGACTGTACAAAAACTATACTGGAGCGATGACCATGAAACTTGGTGTAATGATGTGGTCCGTGAACTACTCAGCTAGTTTTGAAGTGTATCTGGGTCATGGGGCGTATGTTAATCACTTTCTTTAACATTGCAAAAAGGTTATTTTTTTCTTTTTTTATAGATGTTTTATTATAAAATTAAGATATACTTTAGAAAACTGATATTTACAAATGTGTTTGATGTGGTGCAGCTTGATTGAATTTGAGGAGACTGTTGGGCCTTGGCGGAGGTATGAGCCCTACTGAGTGACATTCTGGTTTTATCTCAGTTGGTCAGGAGGGAAAAGAAATTGGAGGGTGTGGACTTGTTTTCAGGAAATGAGGACAGGCTATTTTTCTTTTCCTAAAGTACTTCTAAGACAGAATAATTCTACCTTGCCTTAGGTTTTCTTAATTACTTGACTAACAGAATAATAAAGGTAATTCTACAAAACACAATTTTAAGCAAATGAGAAACACGAATGGCACCCAGTAGTGTGTACGTCAGTGTGGGCCCAACAATCTCCGCAGTTTCAAACAAAAATGCAGAATATCCTCACATTACTCGATGCACCACAGGTTTATGTCATTAATAGGTTTAGATTTGTTATCTTCGTTTTCAAACTGTGGAGTAATTGTAACCTTTTTAAACCGAAAACACTCAGTGAGAAACTCCTGAGTAATGAAAAGCCTCTAACTCTAAATATAATAATTTCATAATCCATATTTAAAATGGATAATTTGACTAAGCGAGCTGCAGGGAACCAGAATTGAAACTTTCAGGAAAATTGTGTTTTCCTGTAAAATGTTTCTTTGAAACCAAAACAGCCAACTTGTTTTCACAAAAGAAACAACATTTTATAATTGGTGCCACAATGTCATTTGAAATATATTTTCTAAAATCGAACATGAAATATACAGGATATAAAAATCCTTGTGGCAAATTTAAATTTGTATGAAAACTGACTTGATCTTGTACGTTACATCCTAAAAAGGTCATAATAATAAAGCATACAAACAGATAAGTATATCTTTAATAATGAACATGGTCAAATCTAAGAATGTGATAGTGACCTCTGATACAATGGATATTTAATTCAGGGGTGACTTAAAACTTTTTTTGCATAAATTTTCTATGTTCCAATACGGTAATATAACTCTGATTTGCTCCACAGTCATACTCCCTCTCGTTTCTTTCACTCAAGCATACATACACACAAATACAGCAAGCAATTTAAAAAAAGAAAAGTCACAAACATATACCATATAGGCTAGTCTCTGGGTGTTCATACACTTGACAATAAATCGGTTAAGTATAATGCTACAGTTAAACATTTTGAGGCGATCTCAGTTAGAAATGCCGGTACATTAAAGCTTACATTTTTCTGGGGATGACGTGGATAGGTTATAGCAATGAAAATGATGAAAATGCCAAGATTATAATGATGTTAAGAAAGAACAAAAAGACAAAAAACAGAAGTGACAGGCCTGGCTTTGAGTTTTAAAAGCAGCACATGCTACATTTTCTTCAGAATTTCAGACAAATACCCCTGCTGGAACAAAGGGAAACAAAAGTCAGGGAAATACACAGAAAGCTCATTTTTGTGAGCCTCAACTCAGACTCAATATTTTT